GTTGACCTGAAAAGAAGTCAGTGGCTGGGTTCACACAATATGATAAGCCAGGGTGGCTTATAGGCCAGGGATGGTTTGCCCTGTCCTCTGAACCCAGCCATAGTGGCTGACAACCCATGCCACTGGGTTCAGAGACTACAACAAGCTACCCCTGGTTTGTAATTACTATGGTTTATCATGATATGTGAACCCAGTCAGACCCTTATGAATTACCACCAGCCATACCATCTTTTGTGTGACACTGTCTTGTATGGTTCACTGGAATGCAGTCCTCAAAATCAAGCTCCAATATGATCAAGCATGGATACACCAAAGTGGGGCCATACCACCTATAATCTCCAGCTAGTTCTCATTTATATGTGTAGCTCAACATGCAGTGGGTTGCAGAACAGTGTGCTAAATAATCTGTAGAGGTCTGTAGTGGCTGCAACCAATCTTGGACAGGGTAAAAGAGAAAAGGGTCTGAGCAGCCTGCCTCTTCTCTCTCTCTCTCTTTCTCTCTCTCACACACACACTCACTCACTCACTCACTCACTCACTCACTCACTCACTCAAACACCCTTCCAGTTGGTTAGTCCTGGTAGTAAAACTGCTTCCAGAGTACTAATATGGCAAGCAGTCAGCCAGATTCTGAGATCGTGTAAAACCATCCTTTCAACCAAATTGTTCGAATGAAGGTTATCAGGGCAAGGCTTGTCTCAGCACCTGGCATCCCGAGGCACCCACCTGGGCCATGGCACACTGGCCGGACCCACCACTGAGGCTTGTCCTTGAACCCCCTTCATTTCCTCCCGGACCAATGCTTTGAGTAGCAGCAAGTAACCTGGCTGGGTTCAAGCAGGGTTAATTTCCCACAATGCCCCTGATGTCATGCTGCTCTAGAAATGAGAGAGTAGAAATGAGTCGTGCTCCTCACTCACCTACACAGGCTGTTTCAACAAAGAGGGTACCACCAGACCCTGGTTTCTGGGATCCCCTCAACTTGCAGCTTGCCCCTGACAGGGGCATTGCTTTATCTCTTGCCTCTAAATTGTTCCATTTAAAATGTCTCCTGGATTTTAGGACCACTATTAAAAGCATGCTGGTTCCCTCATGACCCTTTCTTGTGCAGTGGGGAAGCTTTAAAAAAAAAACTTTTTTTAAAATTAACAAAAAAAAATAATTTTACAAAGGAAAATTACAATACAACCTAACAAGAAATTAAAATCACATGAAAACATAACAAATTAAGCTTTTTCTAATATATAGCTATTTCAGATTTATGTGAGAAATAGCATATCCCAATAATCAAAGGTGAACGGAAATGGATCAGTAGCAGACAAAGCTACCATTTAGTGGTATTCTCTTGGATTTCCAATTTTAAGTAGGATATCTTTAAAATGCAAGGCAAAGGACGAGGATTGGCCCCTGCCTTTCACACCAGGGAAGCTGATGTGGGGCTGCCCTATTTGTCACTTGTCCACTGTATATTGGATTTTGAACTTTACAAATAATGGTATTTAAGGCTTTCAAGCATCAGCTACACATTCCTTGTTACATTTCATGCTGCCCTTCTGTGGCCGCATACAGAAATCTCTTGTAAACTGTTGAAAGGAGTATTGACCATCAGCGCGGCAAACACCTTGCAAACATTTGCACTTGCTATTACGGTGAAGTCTTGTTCTTTGAGCTACCATGCTGGCCTTTGTAAAGGTGGCTTTTTATACCCAAAAGAACAAATTTATTCTCCAGACTGCAAATCAGAACAATTTTTATGCCTTGCTATGAGGTTTTTGTGGACAGGTTATTTCTGCTGTTACTGTGCTCCCTCCCTGGTTTTCTCATTATTTTCTGGGTTGAGCATGGTATTAGTGTACATTTTTTACTTTAAAATACTGCACATGATTAAAGCTTAACATCCACACAAATCCTTTTGATTTAGAGCCTTAAATCCATTATTTATAACAATAGCTTCAAATCTTTTGAAAACCCCGTCAGAAAGGTTTGGCTAATATTAATCTGATCTCAAACAAAATTGTTTTAACTTGTACATGTAGACATTCTCTCAACCTACCCATTTGTTAATCCTAGGTTTAGTATGCCCAATCTGAAACAGATTAAAAGGTAACTTAATTTTATTTCTCAAATTCTTCATAGGACTTAGTTGACGCTGTTTTCACTGACCTCATGTCATAAACCCTTCAAAAATGCATGGTTGAGATGGTGATTAGTTTTTAATAAGGAAAATGTTGATGTGTATGTTCTTTTAAAATTCCAAGGTGTCTCAGTTCTGTTGCATCTGCACCCATGACCTTTATAATTGGATATATGCAAACAGAGGTGGAGTATGTCCGAATAGTACTGAATTTTATAACTCTCTAAAGGAAGCAAAACTGTGCTATATTTGAGTCTTTTGTTAAAGCTAACAATACTAATGGAATGTTTAGCACTATAATACCAATTAGTATCATATGAGTTTTAATTCAGTTTTGATTTTATTGAAACAATTAGGAATAATTAATATAATTCATTTTATTGAAATGATTAGGAATTATTTTATTGAAATAATTAGGAACAATTGTTTTTATTTTAAATAATTAGGAAGCATTATCATCTCTTGCAATGCACTCTACAATGTACATCAGATTTATTATGAAACTGGGTCCCTTTGAACTGTCTCTGCTACTTCCTAAGTCAAACTAGGCTGAGCTTTCCTCAGAACCCGGATCAAAATGAGTCTTCAGTATTGATACTGAGAGGTGCAGACATTCTCTTCTCTCTTGAAATAATGTCCTTTGGTTTTGTTCTCTGAAATACTAATCATGAGAGATTACAAGCTGAATGACAGGTCATTCAGGGTATGTTTTAGTAGAGGTTCCAATCACTCTGTTTCAGAGACACCGGGAGCACCATTCTTCCCACTTTAAATTTGTTTTACATCATCACAACTTTCCAGACTCTGCACCTATCCTTCTGAAACTTTGGAAATTCCTGGTCTAGTGACTTCTCTGTGTGATATGGCCTTTTTATATACATAGGACAAACCACATCTTATGTTTTTATTTGTAGACTGGAAGCCTACTAATTTGGGCCTCAGTCCAGCCAAACTTGAATTTTTGGAACAAATTCAAAATAAATGATCAACTTCCTTTCTCAAGGCCACTGACAAATCCAGCCTCCACAATCTCTGTACTATGTCATGTCCTAGACCAAACAGCATGCCTAGTAATGGCCATCCATCTGTAAATACCAAAAATCATCATGATTACACACGACTTTCTTCATGATGAAGAAGACTTTCTTATGATGATTATACATGACTTTATTTCTTCACATATAACGAATTTAGCTTTTTTCTTTACCTTTTGCCATGTCTTATCCTTTTGCAAGGTGCGCAGTGGAATCCCCTGGAGAATGGATGATCAAGTCATCTCAAGCAATTGGTTGTGCATCTGTCTTCTGATCAAGATCACAGAAATGCCTTTGCCTGCGCTAGCTTTCCTCAGGTGCCCTCACTGGCTAATCGTTTACTTCTCCACCAACACGAACCCAGATGTCTCCCCATCCTACAACTTTGGTAAGTTATTCTTAGGAATGAGATTGCTGATAGGTAATCTTGAAATAACTAATCACACATTTCATTTCATTATTTCATTTTCAAAAGTAATTTTTGAATCTCTGTCTGCTTGGTTCTTCAATAAATATACTCAACTGGAAACTGAGTTGGTAAGTTGTTTTTATAGTACCTGGATTGACCTTACATACTCGGAGCATTTGGAGCATTCTACCATGGTTTCCATGGAGATTAAAGGTCTGCAAAGGGCATCTCACTTCTCCGTAAGTGTAAAACAGTCTGTCTATGGTGGTTCATGATAAGTAAACTTTGGTTAATTAATTCAAAACACCCAGTGCCCTCCAGACATTTTGAACTACAACTGCCAGATTTCCAGACTACTGATCATGCTGGATGGGGCCAATGCAAGCTGAAGCCCAAAACAAGTGGAGGGCATCAAGTTGGAAAGGCCTGGTTTGAACTACTGGTCTGAACTGCCTGGGGGCTTGGATGGATAGATTTTACCTCAGATGGTGACAGCTATGCTAAAGAAGCAACCTAAAGGGTATCTGGTAGTCCATTCTGTCTCACGGTGTTGGAGACACAGTGCCATTTTACACACGACCTTTTGTCAGAAATAGTCCTAAGAAGTGTCAAGTGCTATGTTTAAAAACAACAACCCACACAGTGATTTAGATACTGGTCATGATTTAGAAGTTGGTGCTTCTCCTGTTTGGATGTTCTTAGCTTCAAATGCTAAAATGCTGATGCATTCCATCATAATGGAAAATTAGCATGTGCCAAATTTTACCACTTCAGTCTGTGGCAGGCCTGGGAGTCCAAGTATATATTGGGGTCCCAGCATAGCTCTCTGCAATCCCCAAGGGCCATGCTCCCTTTCTCTGGCCTCATGATTTTTCCACTGAGCACCATGTTGTGGTTTCCTGGCTTTTGGAATTTCCCCCCCAGTTTTCATCTAAAAGAGCTAGTCGTTGTGATATTTTGGTCCCCAGCCCTTTTGTCATCAATCCCACCCACCACTGGAATGATCTCCCCCGAGAGCATTACCAAAACGGAATTTGGCTCTTGACAAGTTTCTATACCCCCTGGTCTCTGAATGGTGCTTCACATTAAAAACAGAATTAAAAACCTCCTGGCACAAAGGAAATACACATATCAGAGAGAAAGGTATTAATCTAGTGAATATTCTGATAGGCAAACTTGCCATGTGATGCTATTTTCATTTTTTTACACAATGCATATCATTCAGGTATGCACAGTCCAAGAAGGTCTGCACTACGTATTATTTGGTACTCTTGAATTAGACCATATTCTTGAATGGCTACATGCAACTGGTGATTTAGAAGATCCTGGTATTAAAAGTAGTCTAGGCACTTCTTTTGCTTCCTATATATGTAACATTATACACAGAATAGAGAACTCTGGAAAAAGGGAAAAAAAATATTTTATTTAAAACAACTCTAGCATCAAAGGAATCTATGAGCTGATAATAACAAAATACTGCATTGGATGGATACAGTGACTGCTTGCAGACTATGGGTGAGACTTATCCGACAATTTCTATTTTTGTTTTTTTAATCCAGATTACCTCAGACTCCAACAATGGCATCTTAACAGTACTACATGTTACATTTTGTAAAGAAATCCCTGTAATGTTAAAAAAACCCAATATGATGTGTCATGTGAGTTTAGGAATCAGAGCACACTGGAAGTTTTTTTAGCTTCTGCAATCTAAAGCAGAGATGAGCAACATATAGCAACATGGCTGCAGAGAGCCCTTCCTTATGATTTTGTGATCAGGGGACATTTGTTAGAATCCTGAGATTCCCAGATTTTACATTTAAAAAAGTAAGCTTGTAGCCCTCTTTATTATGGAGAGAAGACTGTGATGGAAATAACTATATATTAAAATGCGCAAGATGCATGTGTTTGAAAGATTAAACACATGTAGAAAGACTCCAAAGTTTTCGTATCCAAATTGTTATTAATAACTTTGACTCGGATTGGTATTTGAATTTTATAACTTGATTTTAATATTCGTTTTTCTCCCACTTTCTAAATTGCACTGACCACATTCAGGAGCATCTCTTGGGAAAGTGCTGGCATTAACTGAAATGTTCAGAAGGTTCAGAAATGTCCATTAAGCTATTTGCAATCATTCCAAAAGAAGCAAAATCAGTGCAACATGTGCATTTAATCATGGCTTTGCACTCATTCTAGTCATGGAAATGATTGGCCCATCACAGGCTTCATCCTGCTCTTCTGTAACAGTGGCAGGAAGTGCAAGTGTGTAACATCCAGTCACAACTGTTGGACCAAACAGGAAACAGCAGTCTGTGCTGTATCTATGCAGCCGCTCTTCTCAGCGATCTGAATTCTTCCAACAGCACTCTGGGAGCTGGGACAGAGTAAACCAATCAACACTGACAACTCATTTCATGCAACGAGCAGCATGCAGGGTCAGCAGGCTACTTGGCCACTGATCCAGCCATTCCGATCCCATTCCTACTCCCACTAAGTGGCATGCCATGATTGTTTTGCTCAAAAGGGCTGACCAAACGATGAGATGCCCTGTTGGATTGCACTGGAAAAATAGCTTCCCTTGCAGCACAGTGCCCTGTTGTTCAGGCATGCATCTAGCAAACGTGGAGCAGAAGCAGTCCATGTAAGTTCTGCTCTTTGGGCTACATATCAGTGTCAACGGCATTATGACCCTGCGAGTCTTTTGACTCTGCAGAGACCAAGCACACACCATACATTATGTACATACAGGTTCATAATTTTTGATGTGGCTTTGTTGAAGGCTCTATCCACTTCTGGATCAAAATATTCAAACAAACTACATAACTAAATATTTCCTTGGGAATATTAAAAATAACCTATATATTGAAATTAAAGATTAAAATACAGCCTTTCTCTGAGTTTCCATACATATTTTCCAGTAGAAATATACTTTATAATTCTACAAACAACATTTTATATTAAAGCTTTCATTCTGCAAATCATTATGATTTAACATGGCAAAACAAGCGTTTTGGTTCTTGTCTTTAAATCTCCCCTTTTTTGGTGAAGAAGGGTAAAAATGGCAGAACATATGTGAATAATGAAAATCTGCAAAACTAATTGATTGCAAATGATACAAACACAACATTTATTTAGAAAAATAAACTGAAAATGCCGGTTTAGCTGGTACATTTTCCATGAAGGACAGATAATTGACTATAAAAATGTTATGTGTCAAATACGTATACAAATGTTTTTTTGTTTTGTTTTTTTTCCTCTCTTCCTTGGGAGGATACTGTTAATGTTCATTAGGAACATGTGAGTTGTACTGTTCCTTTTCTTTGCTGTTACAATGATACAAAAATGTATTAAAAATTAGATCCATTCTAAAATCCATGTTAGCCTGTTGATGCTTTTTAACATTTCAGTCTCAAGGAGCAACAATTTGCCTTGTGGGAAAGAACTCTGCGAGGGACAGAAGGGCATTATGTTTTCTTCACTTTGTAGATGTATTTTATTTCATTCTCTCTAGAAGCCCCTCAAGGTATATCTTCATGTGGGCTAAAATTTCATGCGACCATCTGTGCAAATGATGGCCTACATCATTCCCCTGAATGGACGTGACAGTGCAAATATTAGAAGTGCATTGAGATGCAATCTGTAACAGCTGAATATTTCAGCAGAGGACAGGAAACAATATATTTCCAAGCATTTTAGTATCATCAGTCCTCTTTTCTTCTATGGCTTTGAATTTGCACATGGGACAACAGTGATCTTATCTTTCCACCCACGGTGATCATCTTTTCTTAGGAATAAAAGCATTGATTTCTCCAGAGTCATTTAAGTGCTTACATCTTCAATTAGCTACATATATTTAAACACATTTTGGGCACAGGCTGGACCCATGTGATTACTGCTGAGTGTCCTCGATTTCTTAGCACTGGATTTCTTCAATAGCAGACCTTGGAGTTGGCTGTTTCTGTGATAGGGCAAGAAAGTAACTCCTCTTTCTTCCTCTGTCAGAGCAAGTGGTACTTAAGGCTGTGGCTTTTGTCAGGACTCAGCTCATAGTTACTGGATATGAGGCCAGTGGTTTAATGCAGATTTCACCAGTGATTGCTTGTGCTCTGGCTCAAGGGTTTTCATGCTCTGAGAAGGGCCCCCGATGTTATTATCAAAGATGGCCTGGAAGAAGTTGCACTGTCAAGCTGTCATGGGAGAAACTGGTTAACGTACTTCCAAATGTTGATAACCCTTCCAGTCTGAAGAGCTGCAGGAGAGAAAGGAAAAAGAGAAGAGCAAATTATAACACTCAGATATGTGTATACTTGCAATGAAAATTCCTTATCTTTCGAAAAATTATGTGCATCTAACCCAGAATGCTCAAACTACTCTGATATCATGGATCTAACTATCCACCTAGCAGTTCTCTGTGTTCTTTCAAACAGAAGGTAGCAGCTTAGTTTTCAGTGTTTCCTATTGAAATCTACAGTCCAAAGTTAATGAAATCTTGGACACTATTGTACTGGGAAAAAGCCTGCTTCTCATTCCAGATTCACGGCCAGACTTGATTTTTACTGCAGGATGCCCCTGAATGCATGCATTTATATTTTCTAAGATGAATGGCTGTTATTCATGCTTATGCAGGAAGAGTAAAATGGACAACTTGATCTCTGTGAATCTAAGCAGGAGTAGATGGCTTGTGTCCCTCCAGATGTTTTGACCTATGACTCCTATCAACCTTAGTCAGCACAGTCAGTGAAGAGGGATTATGGAAATTGTAGGCCAAACCATGTGGAAGACATAAGTTGCCTACTCCTGCATTTGGATGTTTAATTCTAGGATAGAAACTTGACTTTATCAGTAAATAATAGATGCATAGAAATCAGTATAGTCAGTTTATTTTAGGCAACAATCCAAGGATTATTTTAGATAATCACAGTGCAATGCTGCATATGACTAATGAGTCCCAGTAAGTATCAATAAAGACAGGCACATGCTTCTGCTTTTACACGATAGTTCTCATGACTTTGCCCGGCCCTTGGGATAATGAAAATGCCATCTCAACAACTAATAACTTCTGAGGGATAATTGATCACACACTTATCATGCAGACAGTAGCAGCTTTTTCAGGAAGCAACGGCTGCCCCTGTCCCATGGACTACCCCATGGTTCAAACTGAATCTCATTGAAGTGTGTCGTGACGGCTTTAATAGCGTCTCCAGGCACTGAATAAGCTTTTCATTTAAATGAATCCTGAGGTCATTATAAGGAAGAGGACTGACTTCAGTACCACAGGGAGCATTTGCAAAGTCAAGCATCATTTTTAAAAAGTCCATTCCCTATCTCAAACACAGCCCTTGGTATATTGTTCAAATATAAATATTTCAACAATTCCTTCTATTAAATAATCCATCAGAGTAGTTCACTCTTTTCCTCAGCCTATTTCTATGATAATGCTCTGCTGCACATGTTATATGGAGGACCGAGATTTGCTGAGACAGTACAGTCTGCATTTACACTGGTATCTTCAGAAAGCACGTGACCCTGAGGGCTAAAGTAAAGGCCACTATTTTGCCATCTGAAGCAATTGGAAAGCCAGAGTGAATATTCTTTCAAGGTCTGCCAAATCCTGGTCAGAAGCGAGGCTGTTGCAACCATTTCCAAAGAGAATGGAATGTATGTCCACTGAGATATCCTACAAGAGACATCCTCCTTTTTAGGTTTCCTATAGGCAGTTGTGGGGGAACAAGAGGAAGGGGCAAGGGATATCTTTGGTTAGATCCAATATGCAATTTTTGTGTCCTTCATGTTAGCATAATGGCTTCATCTTGCTTTTATCTTGCAAATTTAAAAGTCTAAACAATGGTGGATAATCTCCAAAAGGAGAGGTGTTCAGGCTTATGTCTGGCTAGAAGCCAAACCCTCTCCTCTGTGCTCCTACTCCTAGATTAGGCAGGCCAGCAAAATATAAATTCATCCAGGCACCAACAGCCCTAGAGTCTTACACAGCAGCCATGGGGCTCAATAAAACAGCAACTATCCCACAGCAGGAGGACAACTGCTTTTCATGCACCATTCCCAGGCTCTGTCCCTCACATCTCCATGCAGGGGTGGGAAAAACCTGGTCTGAATACCAGAGAGCTGCAGCCAGTCAGTCCCAACAACACTGGGGTAAATGGACTAATGCTCTGAATCCATCCACAGCAGCTACCAAAGTCCTGGCTTAGTTTCCTGTCTGACATTGCAAAAACCAAGGGGTCGTCGCTTACTCTCACAATGCATCAGACCAAGCTTGTAAGTTGCATTTAGATTAGTGGATCACAAGCTGGGTAAGCATCTACTAACTGACACGTTCAGGCTGCAATTAGTGACTGCCAAGAGCAAGACACGTGTGCTCAGAGAAACACAATCAATCATGTGAGAGAAACACAATCAATGTGTTCCAGGGGTGAGGCCTACCCTGCATAGAAGCACCATTTAGGACCAAGTGCTGGAAATTGCAATCAGGGAAAAAAGTTGCACACATGTGGTGCATTCTGTTGAAAAAAGTGGAGATGCACAACTTCAGGGCAGGGTGGAGCAATCAAGAAGCTAACGTTTTATGACCTGCAAAGAATGACTCAATACATTTCAGAAGCATTACAACAAGCTGCAAATTATATTTGTTTTGTTCACATGCTTGCCGCAGCATCATGCTCTCTGAGGTCTTTCCTACTCTGCCTTCTAAAGCCCACATGACGTTCACAGAATCCCAGACTTGGAAGAGCCAAGAATTGCCCTTGAAGATGATTCAGACATTGCAATTGGTTCAGAATATTCACCTGCCAGACTGCTGACAGGAGCCAGTTGATGAAAACACATCATACCCGTCCTGTATAAGCTACACTGGCTATCAACTGAAGTCGGGCCTTATTTAAGGTATTAACAATAACATATAAATCCCTAAACAGTTTAGGACTTGGCTCTCTAATGGAATGTCTCCTTCCATATGAGCCTGCCCAGACCCTAAGATCCACCATGGAGGTCCTCCTCCAAAGCCCTTCTTGATAGAAGTGAGGAGGACATTTATGGATGTAATATGGTTTTAATAAAGATGTGTATTTTTGGCTTTTATGTAAACTGTATTGAGATTTTATAATAATCAGACATATATAAGAAATTTTAAATAAAAAACAAAATAGTTCAGATCCCAACTCAGCCAAGAAGTTCACTTAGGATGGTGGCCATACAAACATAGGCAGATGGATGAGAGAAGTTCTTACACTTTGGCCGTCTTGAATACAACTTGGAAACCAGGATAGATTCTAAGTTGATTTAAGACATGCTGAGTTTACAAGTTTGAAAAGGTTGCTGAAACTTCCAGCTGCTCAGGATCAAGAAGTAAGTGTGTAATTTTTACAGCTCACTTATTATCATCAATAATTAATATTCTGTAATTGGATCTTAGAAATTCTGTTGATGTGCAGAGAGCCAAGAGAGGATCCAAAGCATTTCCCTTAAGCTATTTCGGTTTTTCTGTCTCTGCCGGGGGTATTAGGTAGCAGCACTGTTTGCTTCGGTAAAGCAGGGCCTAGGAATCTTTGTACAAAACAGATTCCAGAATGATACAGAAAGTAACTGGTGAACTCTCTGTTTCTCTCTTGCTCTTTTTACATGCTAGTTGTTAAATTGACATAATTGGAATAAACATGGGCATTAGTTATTGAAGAATCACTGGTATTCTGTACTCAACTGTTCAGCAAGTGGATGTAGTTTTGATTGTACCAAAAAGGGATTTTAAAGGATATAGCATTACATTTGTGCTTATTTGTAGCCTGCGGTACATAGCTTTCAAAACTCTGCCGGATCTAGCTCTGGGGATCATGACTTTTGCTCTTTTTTTTGCCCACATACATGCATACAAAATATGAACATCACATGATGTCTTTAGTTTGGTTCCACTTCTGATATTTTCTCCTTCCAGAATGGGAAAATCTGGTAACCATTTTTCTTCCTTTTCATGCAAGCCATCTTTTTTGATTTTACATTGCAAGAAAAGAACAACAGACAGACAGAAAATCATATAACTATCTCAGATTAACACTCTGAAATGAAATAATAGACCTAGGGCTACAACGGTGCAATATTCACATGTGAAAATATGGAAAGGAATTATTGTACACATGAGCCTAGCATGACTACGATCCTACACAAATGTATGTGAAATGATATTTCATATAAATAAATGGGTGTCCTACACCATGTTAGACATGCTGAACCCCAATGATGGGTTAGTGATGTCTTCAGTCTTTTACTTGCAGGACTGGTTATCATAGCATGTGAACCAGAAGTTCACAGAATTCGGTTGTTACAACAGTTGCCAAATTGTTGTATTTCCATTGCAATCAGAACTGTCTAGTGTAACGGAAGAAAATGCCCCCAAGTAATGTCTGAATTGACTTCCCTGAGAGTGGAATATCCAAACCTTTCTGAGTTGTTTACTGGATTTTCCATGGGTTCCTCTCTGTTCTGCAAGAGCAGAAAAAAGAAGCTGGATTTGACAGTGTTTAACATTGCCAAGAACATAGTTGCAAGATTTTGTTTTGAGGAGGCAGGCAAGCAGTGCAGTATCACAACTAGTCCATGACCAGAACAGAAGAATATTGACACGGAAGCTGTTACGCTTTTGCTACCTGAGCCAAGGGAACACTTAGCACTTAGACGATAATAAAACTGCTTGATCCCAAGGGAACAGAATGTGAATGCTTACAAGTCTGAGACACAGATTACTAGCTACACTGTAACACTGCCTAGTACATTTCTTTATCTGACAATCATTCTTACAACAAATTTGTAAGAATTCTATTCAAATCTCACTCAGAAAAGGTGCCATTTTGAATGTATGTGCTTCTCAAAATGCCTTCATTGCCAACTACACCTTGGTAAAAAGAAAGAAAAAAAAGACAGATGCCATCAATAACTTGGAGTTTATTGATCTGCCTGATATACGGTGATATCTCATCAAAACAGAAATGAAAGTGTAGGGAATGCCCAACAAGAAAAAAGTCCTTGGCTTGGATTTCCATGGTACTTAATATACAAGAACTGTTTGTGAAATACACATTTTAAAGAACAAGATTGTGTGGGGGGGTTACATCAGCAAATAAATGACCAGGGTAAGTAGGACTGAGTGTGCATTGTGGTAACTCTTTGCTGTTGTAATGAAACTAACAACACTTCCAAATGCAGCAGTGTGCGCTGACAATGTAAACAGTCAAGCAGCAACAA